AATATAAATCTCCAAAATAGAAAATTTTTGGGTTAAAAAAAGTTTGCTGCTAAAAGTAGGCTACAGCAATGTATATTATACATATTTCTATTTCCTGTTAAACCATGTCACAAAAACCGAAGAAACATCAGATTTAGGCTTCTGCAGACGCGCTAGAGACGTCAAATTTAGACCATAGACTAGAGTATAGACTAGACTATAGACTAAGACTATAGACTAGACTATAGACTAGACTATAGCTAGACTATAACTACGACTATAGACTAGACTATAGACTAGACTAGAGACTAGACTATAGACTAGACCTATAGACTAGACTATAGACTAGACTATAGACAGACTATAGACAGACTAGACTAGACTATAAGACTAGACTATAGACTAGACTATAGAACTAGAACTATAGACTAGACTATAGACTAAGACTATAGACTAGACTATAGACTAGACTATAGACTAGACTATATACTAGACTATAGACTAGACTATAGACTAGACTATACTAGACTATAGACTATAGACTAGACTATAGACTAGACTATAGACTAGACTATAGACTAGACTATAGACTAGACTATAGACTAGACTATAGACTAGACTATAGACTAGACTATAGACTAGACTATAGACTAGACTATAGACTAGACTATAGACTAGACTATAGACTAGACTATAGACTAGACTATAGACTAGACTATAGACTAGACTATAGACTAGACTATAGACTAGACTATAGACTAGACTATAGACTAGACTATAGACTAGACTATAGACTAGACTATAGACTAGACTATAGACTAGACTATAGACTAGACTATAGAATAGACTATAGACTAGACTATAGACTAGACTATAGACTAGACTATAGACTAGACTATAGACTAGACTATAGACTAGACTATAGACTAGACTATAGACTAGACTATAGACTAGACTATAGACTAGACTATAGACTAGACTATAGACTAGACTATAGACTAGACTATAGACTAGACTATGACTAGACTATAGACTAGACTATAGACTAGACTATAGACTAGACTATAGACTAGACTATAGACTAGACTATAGACTAGACTTTAGACTAGACTATAGACTAGACTATAGACTAGACTATAGACTAGACTATAGACTAGACTATAGACTAGACTATAGACTAGACTATAGACTAGACTATAGACTAGACTATAGACTAGACTATAGACTAGACTATAGACTAGACTATAGACTAGACTATAGACTAGACTATAGACTAGACTATAGACTAGACTATAGACTAGACTATAGACTAGACTATAGACTAGACTATAGACTAGACTATAGACTAGACTATAGACTAGACTATAGACTAGACTATAGACTAGACTATAGACTAGACTATAGACTAGACTATAGACTATAGACTAGACTATAGACTAGACTATAGACTAGACTATAGACTAGACTATAGACTAGACTATAGACTAGACTATAGACTAGACTATAGACTAGACTATAGACTAGACTATAGACTAGACAATAGACTAGACTATAGACTAGACTATAGACTAGACTATAGACTAGACTATAGACTAGACTATAGACTAGACTAGACTATAGACTAGACTAGACTAGACTATAGACTAGACTAGACTAGACTAGACTAGACTATAGACTAGACTAGACTATAGACTAGACTATAGACTAGACTAGACTATAGACTAGACTAGACTATAGACTAGACTAGACTATAGACTAGACTAGACTAGACTATAGACTAGACTATAGACTAGACTATAGACTAGACTATAGACTAGACTATAGACTAGACTATAGACTAGACTATAGACTAGACTATAGACTAGACTATAGACTAGACTATAGACTAGACTATAGACTAGACTATAGACTAGACTATAGACTAGACTATAGACTAGACTATAGACTAGACTATAGACTAGACTATAGACTAGACTATAGACTAGACTATAGACTAGACTATAGACTAGACTATATAGACTAGACTATAGACTAGACTATAGACTAGACTATAGACTAGACTATAGACTAGACTATAGACTAGACTATAGACTAGACTATAGACTAGACTATAGACTAGACTATAGACTAGACTATAGACTAGACTATAGACTAGACTATAGACTAGACTATAGACTAGACTATAGACTAGACTATAGACTAGACTATAGACTAGACTATAGACTAGACTATAGACTAGACTATAGACTAGACTATAGACTAGACTATAGACTAGACTATAGACTAGACTATAGACTAGACTATAGACTAGACTATAGACTAGACTATAGACTAGACTATAGACTAGACTATAGACTAGACTATAGACTAGACTATAGACTAGACTATAGACTAGACTATAGACTAGACTATAGACTAGACTATAGACTAGACTATAGACTAGACTATAGACTAGACTATAGACTAGACTAGACTAGACTATAGACTAGACTATAGACTAGACTATAGACTAGACTATAGACTAGACTATAGACTAGACTATAGACTAGACTATAGACTAGACTATAGACTAGACTATAGACTAGACTAGACTATAGACTAGACTAGACTATAGACTAGACTAGACTATAGACTAGACTAGACTATAGACTAGACTAGACTATAGACTAGACTATAGAATAGACTAGACTATAGACTAGACTAGACTATAGACTAGACTAGACTATAGACTAGACTAGACTATAGACTAGACTAGACTATAGACTAGACTAGACTATAGACTAGACTAGACTATAGACTAGACTAGACTATAGACTAGACTAGACTATAGACTAGACTAGACTATAGACTAGACTATAGACTAGACTATAGACTAGACTATAGACTAGACTATAGACTAGACTATAGACTAGACTATAGACTAGACTATAGACTAGACTATAGACTAGACTATAGACTAGACTATAGACTAGACTATAGACTAGACTATAGACTAGACTATAGACTAGACTATAGACTAGACTATAGACTAGACTATAGACTAGACTATAGACTAGACTAGACTAGACTATAGACTAGACTATAGACTAGACTATAGACTAGACTATAGACTAGACTATAGACTAGACTATAGACTAGACTATAGACTAGACTATAGACTAGACTATAGACTAGACTATAGACTAGACTATAGACTAGACTATAGACTAGACTATAGACTAGACTATAGACTAGACTATAGACTAGACTATAGACTAGACTACTAGACTATAGACTAGACTATAGACTAGACTATAGACTAGACTATAGACTAGACTATAGACTAGACTATAGACTAGACTATAGACTAGACTATAGACTAGACTATAGACTAGACTATAGACTAGACTATAGACTAGACTATAGACTAGACTATAGACTAGACTATAGACTAGACTATAGACTAGACTATAGACTAGACTAGACTATAGACTAGACTATAGACTAGACTAGACTATAGACTAGACTATAGACTAGACTATAGACTAGACTAGACTATAGACTAGACTAGACTATAGACTAGACTAGACTATAGACTAGACTATAGACTAGACTATAGACTAGACTATAGACTAGACTATAGACTAGACTATAGACTAGACTATAGACTAGACTATAGACTAGACTATAGACTAGACTATAGACTAGACTATAGACTAGACTATAGACTAGACTATAGACTAGACTATAGACTAGACTATAGACTACACTATAGACTAGACTATAGACTAGACTATAGACTAGACTATAGACTAGACTATAGACTAGACTATAGACTAGACTATAGACTAGACTATAGACTAGACTATAGACTAGACTATAGACTAGACTATAGACTAGACTAGACTATAGACTAGACTATAGACTAGACTATAGACTAGACTATAGACTAGACTATAGACTGGACTATAGACTGGACTATAGACTAGACTATAGACTAGACTATAGACTAGACTATAGACTAGACTATAGACTAGACTATAGACTAGACTATAGACTAGACTATAGACTAGACTATAGACTAGACTATAGACTAGACTATAGACTAGACTATAGACTAGACTATAGACTAGAGTATAGACTATACTATAGACTAGACTATAGACTAGACTATAGACTAGACTATAGACTAGACTATAGACTAGACTATAGACTAGACTATAGACTAGACTATAGACTAGACTATAGACTAGACTATAGACTAGACTATAGACTATAGACTAGACTATAGACTAGACTATAGACTAGACTATAGACTAGACTATAGACTAGACTATAGACTAGACTATAGACTAGACTATAGACTAGACTATAGACTAGACTATAGACTAGACTATAGACCAGACTATAGACTAGACTGTATAATCTCAAGCATCCTGGATATGTTAGTGTAGGGTATTGAATAATAAAAATGCATAATAAAAACTGAAATTAAATTTTCTCAATAGAATAAATCACTAAATGTGTAAAAACTTTGACCAATATTTAAAATTGAATTTATAAGAATTATTCCAACATTTTTACTTTGATTCATTGAGGCTGTTCAAACTTTTAAAAAGTTAGGGTGAAATAACTTTATAATGTTTTTGTAAAATATTTTCCATGTTTTTTATCACAATTTTAAATAATTAAATCTCGAAAGTAACAGTAAAAAGAAAAAAACCCATAACTCTCTTTATATTTAATGTTTAAGCTTAATAGCTTTTTATAATTTACTTGTAAAGTACTCGTGCTAAGTAAAATGTTCATACAGGTGTTATGTATAACGCTTGTTTACAATAAAAATGACCCAAGTCAGAACTTAAACTCCTTTCACTTAACAGATTTTACTTCTTAATTCCATGAAGAATGATCTAAATCAAAAAATTCGTTTTCTCTTAATACTATTTGAAAATTAATACACTTTTAAAGTAAATGTACTCTATCTTTGTACGTTTTAAAAATAAAAAAAAAACAACACACAAACAGCATTTAACACTTACCTGGAATCCTGGCCACTCTCAGCTGATTCCTGTACTCTCATAGCATACAAATCCTGTGAGAATAACTACATAAAGGGAAACGTAAAATGTTTGTATGTATTACCACATTAAAAGGAAATAAAAAATTAAAAAAAAACACACAAATCAGTTAACAATTGCTTAAGCTGGTAAACCAGACAGACTTTTCTAAAGTCTGTTTTTCTGGTTAAATGAGTCCTAGAGTGCAAGTTAAAAGGTGGGCGTTTGGTATATAAATGAGTTTTTAATTCTAATATTATATTTGTTTTAAACTCATTTTCTTCTTTTTTCACATAAATAAGTGTTTAACTACTTACCTCACCATTTTCCGGTGGATCACCATTACCAAATGTTGATGGCAACAACAATCAATAGTGCTTCATGCTCAATGGATGAAATATCGTAATCAGACATGCAATAGATCTAAAAAAAGAAGAGAAAAAATAACGAAATTAAATTTAGAATTACATATTTATATATGTACTTTAATTTTCTTTGTAGTCTACATTAGTTGCCTAATATTTAATGTTTAAAGATAACCAATTAAAGATATAAAGTTTGCAATAAGATTGTTATCCCAGCAGTTCCAGAAGTAGTCATTGTATCGCTTTAGCCCAGTGATTTTCATAACTACTAATCACTTTATAGTAAGCTAGCAAGTTGTTAATTGATATCTTGTTGTCCCTTAGTAAACTAAAGTGTAGTTATTAAGTATTAAACTTCCATTGTGTAGACTTAAGTCAAATCTAAAGATTAGTCTAAATTTGAATCTTAAGTCTAGTCTAAAGTTTGGTATAAAATCTGCACTTAAGTCTGGAATAAAGTATAGTCTAGACTAAAATCAAGTCTAAGGTCTAGTCTTAAGACTAGTATAGAGTATAGTCTAAGTCAAATCTGAAGTCTGATATAAATTCAAGTAGAATGTCTAAGTCTAGTCTAATGTCTAGTCCAACTTCTAGTCTAAAGTCTAGTATAAAGTACAGTCTTAAGTCAAATCTGAAGTCTGATCTAAATTCAAGTAGAATGTCTAAGTCTAGTCTAATGTCTACGTGAACGTCCAGTCTAAAGTCCTGTGTAAATTCTAGTCGAAAGTCTAGTCTGTAGTCTAAACTAAAGGTTAGTCTAAAGTTTAATTTTAAATCTATTCTTAAGACTACTCTTTAGACTAAAGTCTACTGTAAAGTCCTAGATTAATTTCTAGTCTAAAGTCTAGTCTAAAGTGTAGTCTAAAGTCTAGTCTGAAATCTAGTCTAAAGTATAGTCTAAAGTATACTCTAAAGTCTAGTATAAAGTCTAATCTAAAATCTAGTCTAAAGTCTAGTCTCAAGTCTACTCAAAAGTCAACTCGAAAGTCTAGTCTAAAGTCTTGCCTAAGTTAAATCTAAAGTCTAGTTTAAAGTCTAGTTCGAAGTCCAGTCTAAAGTCTAGTCCAATGTTTAGTCCAAACTGTAGTCTATAGTACTATCTAATGTATAATCTTAAATCTAGTCTAAAGTCTAGCCAAAAGTATAATCTCAAGTCTAGTCTAAAGTCTTGCCTAAGGTCAAGTCTAAAGCCTAGTTTAAAGTATAGTTCGAAGTCCAGTCTAAAGTCTAGTCCAATGTTTAGTCCAAAGTCTAGTCTATAGTAATATCTAATGTATAATCTTAAATCGAGTTTATAGTCCGCCCAAAGTCTAGCCTAAAGTATAATCTCAAGTCTAGTTTAAAGTCTAGTCTAAAGTCTATCTAAAGTCTAGTCTGAAGTCTAGTCTTAAGTTAAGTCTACTCTAAAGTCTAGTCTTAAGTCTAGTCTTAAGTCTAGTCTAAAGTCCTAGTCTAAAGTCTAGTTTAAAGTCTAGTCCAAAGTATAGTTTAAAGTCTAGTCTAAAATCTAATCTAATGTCTAGTCTAAAGTCTAGTCTAAAGTCTAGTCTAAAGTCTAGTCTAAAGTCGAGTCTAAAGTCTAGTCTAAAGTCTAATGAATAATCTTGAATCTAGTTTATAGTCTAGTCCAAAGTCAAGTTAAAAGTCTATCTAAATCTAGTCTAAAGTCTAGTCTAAAGTCTGGTCTAAAGTCTAGTCTAAAGTCTGGTCTAAAGTCTAGTCTAAAGTCTGGTCTACAGTCTAGTCTAGTCTAAAGTCTCGTCTAATGTCTAGTCTAAAAGGACTAGCCTAGTTAAAAGTGTAGTCTAATGTCTAGCCTAAAGTCTAGTTAAAAAATGTAGTCTAATGTCTATTCTAAAGTCAAGTCAAAAGTATATTCTAAAGTCTTGTCTAAACTTTAGTTTAAAGTATGGTCTAGACTTAACTTTAGACTATGCTTTTGATTCTACTTGAGACTAGATTTTAGATTAAACTTTTTATGTCTACCCTTTACTCTTTTGTCCAATCCAAAGTCCAAGTTCAGGTGAAATCTAAAATCTAGTACAAATTTTATAATTTCGCTTAGTTCCTATTAATTAACATTAATCATCCATGTGTGGGTGCTATTATAGAACTCAATTAAATCAATAATAACTTAACATTGTCCATTTTATTGCCTGCAATAAAATCTTTGCCTCTTTATAACAGTTACAAATCCTACGTTAAACTTAAATGACCCATCATTAACACCACCACGCACATTAAATAAAGTCCCAACACAAAACAGCTTGAAAAATATTTGACATCATCATGTAGACATGATTGACTGTAAACTACTGTTCACATCCACTATATATTTTAGACATTTTTCCAACATTTTGTCTTATCCTGCATAATTCTATTTTCTCAGGTATATGTATATTAAAACAATTGTCCAGCAAAAATAACAAAAATTGACCCCAGTATCAAGTAATTTAGACAAAGTTTATACAATAAAATGAGGCCACAGCAGCAGCCAGACCAACATGACACTTATGTCATGTTTTATAAGAAGAAAAAAACAACACAGAAGTGGACAAAAAAACTCGAAAAAAACGAATCATGTCTGCCATATGATGACAACATTATGGGTTTTGTGTAGTTTATACCATTATGTTTAGTGTTTTTGTTAAATTGTAGAATTTTTTTTTTTTTCGTTTGTAATGCCACAGAGATTTAAAAGGACATGTGATGATACATAAAAAAAGGAAGGAAAATATTTACTCTTAGCCACTTTTATTGGATATGTTTATTGATATTGTTGTTACTGTTGTATTTTTTAAATAGAAAAAGGCCATTTAGTGTTTTTCACCCTTAGTTATTTTGATGCCAATACAGTGGTAGTGATATTTTGACAACTTTAACTTTCAGGTGATATTTTTGTTAAATTCTTTTCTTGTGTCCAAAGTTAAAAAAATAAACTATAATAAGTTTTAATAAGATTTTTCTTGATTAAAGTTTTATTTAGCAACAGCTGCGAATAAAAACATAAAAAGGGACATTTGCTGGTTTTTAAATAGTTTACATAATTTAAACTTTTAGATGATTTTTTCCCTTAAAATGGACTGTAGTGATTTAAATACTGTTATATTAAAATCATTTGTCATGTGACATTTACATAGTATGACATTTAAATGGAAGTGACATTTACCTTCCCAAAAAAAACTTGTTAACGGTAATGGGGATTTCTGTTATTGATTTTAACCTGGGACAGTAAAATATCATTATTTTTGATTGTTTAAAGAAAAAACTCAAATATAGAAAAACATCGTAAATCTATTTTCAATACCTACACAGTTTTTATTGTCGTGAACTATTTTTTTTTTGTTCTAGTCTATAGTCTAGTCTATAGTCTAGTCTATAGTCTAGTCTATAGTCTAGTCTATAGTCTAGTCTATAGTCTAGTCTATAGTCTAGTCTATAGTCTAGTCTATAGTCTAGTCTATAGTCTAGTCTATAGTCTAGTCTATAGTCTAGTCTATAGTCTAGTCTATAGTCTAGTCTATAGTCTAGTCTATAGTCTAGTCTATAGTCTAGTCTATAGTCTAGTCTATAGTCTAGTCTATAGTCTAGTCTATAGTCTAGTCTATAGTCTAGTCTATAGTCTAGTCTATAGTCTAGTCTATAGTCTAGTCTATAGTCTAGTCTATAGTCTAGTCTATAGTCTAGTCTATCGTCTAGTCTATAGTCTAGTCTATAGTCTAGTCTATAGTCTAGTCTATAGTCTAGTCTATAGTCTAGTCTATAGTCTAGTCTATAGTCTAGTCTATAGTCTAGTCTATAGTCTAGTCTATAGTCTAGTCTATAGTCTAGTCTATAGTCTAGTCTATAGTCTAGTCTATAGTCTAGTCTATAGTCTAGTCTATAGTCTAGTCTATAGTCTAGTCTATAGTCTAGTCTATAGTCTAGTCTATAGTCTAGTCTATAGTCTAGTCTATAGTCTAGTCTATAGTCTAGTCTATAGTCTAGTCTATAGTCTAGTCTATAGTCTAGTCTATAGTCTAGTCTATAGTCTAGTCTATAGTCTAGTCTATAGTCTAGTCTATAGTCTAGTCTATAGTCTAGTCTATAGTCTAGTCTATAGTCTAGTCTATAGTCTAGTCTAGTCTAGTCTATAGTCTAGTCTATAGTCTAGTCTATAGTCTAGTCTATAGTCTAGTCTATAGTCTAGTCTAGTCTAGTCTATAGTCTAGTCTATAGTCTAGTCTATAGTCTAGTCTATAGTCTAGTCTATAGTCTAGTCTATAGTCTAGTCTATAGTCTAGTCTATAGTCTAGTCTAGTCTAGTCTATAGTCTAGTCTATAGTCTAGTCTATAGTCTAGTCTATAGTCTAGTCTATAGTCTAGTCTATAGTCTAGTCTATAGTCTAGTCTATAGTCTAGTCTATAGTCTAGTCTATAGTCTAGTCTATAGTCTAGTCTATAGTCTAGTCTATAGTCTAGTCTATAGTCTAGTCTATAGTCTAGTCTATAGTCTAGTCATAGTCTAGTCTATAGTCTAGTCTATAGTCTAGTCTATAGTCTAGTCTATAGTCTAGTCTATAGTCTAGTCTATAGTCTAGTCTATAGTCTAGTCTATAGTCTAGTCTATAGTCTAGTCTATAGTCTAGTCTATAGTCTAGTCTATAGTCTAGTCTATAGTCTAGTCTATAGTCTAGTCTATAGTCTAGTCTATAGTCTAGTCTATAGTCTAGTCTATAGTCTAGTCTATAGTCTAGTCTATAGTCTAGTCTATAGTCTAGTCTATAGTCTAGTCTATAGTCTAGTCTATAGTCTAGTCTATAGTCTAGTCTATAGTCTAGTCTATAGTCTAGTCTATAGTCTAGTCTATAGTCTAGTCTCTAGTCTATAGTCTCTATAGTCTAGTCTATAGTCTAGTCTATAGTCTAGTCTATAGTCTAGTCTATAGTCTAGTCTATAGTCTAGTCTATAGTCTAGTCTATAGTCTAGTCTATAGTCAGTATATAGTCTAGTCTATAGTCTAGTCTATAGTCTAGTCTATAGTCTAGTCTATAGTCTAGTCTATAGTCTAGTCTATAGTCTAGTCTATAGTCTAGTATATAGTCAAGTCTGTATAGTCTATAGTCTAGTCTATAGTCTAGTCTATAGTCTATCTATAGTCTAGTCTATAGTCTAGTCTATAGTCTAGTCTATAGTCTAGTCTATAGTCTAGTCTATAGTCTAGTCTCTAGTCTAGTCTATAGTCTAGTCTATAGTCTAGTCTATAGTCTAGTCTATAGTCTAGTCTATAGTCTAGTCTATAGTCTAGTCTATAGTCTAGTCTATAGTCTAGTCTATAGTCTAGTCTATAGTCTAGTCTATAGTCTAGTCTATAGTCTAGTCTATAGTCTAGTCTATAGTCTAGTCTATAGTCTAGTCTATAGTCTAGTCTATAGTCTAGTCTATAGTCTAGTCTATAGTCTAGTCTATAGTCTAGTCTATAGTCTAGTCTATAGTCTAGTCTATAGTCTAGTCTATAGTCTAGTCTATAGTCTAGTCTATAGTCTAGTCTATAGTCTAGTCTATAGTCTAGTCTATAGTCTAGTCTATAGTCTAGTCTATAGTCTAGTCTATAGTCTAGTCTATAGTCTAGTCTATAGTCTAGTCTATAGTCTAGTCTATAGTCTAGTCTATAGTCTATATAGTCTAGTCTATAGTCTAGTCTATAGTCTAGTCTATAGTCTAGTCTATAGTCTAGTCTATAGTCTAGTCTATAGTCTAGTCTATAGTCTAGTCTATAGTCAAGTATAGTCTAGTCTATAGTCTAGTCTATAGTCTAGTCTATAGTCTAGTCTATAGTCTAGTCTATAGTCTAGTCTATAGTCTAGTCTATAGTCTAGTCTATAGTCTAGTCTATAGTCTAGTCTATAGTCTAGTCTATAGTCTAGTCTATAGTCTAGTCTATAGTCAAGTATATAGTCTAGTCTATAGTCTAGTCTATAGTCTAGTCTATAGTCTAGTCTATAGTCTAGTCTATAGTCTAGTCTATAGTCTAGTCTATAGTCTAGTCTATAGTCTAGTCTATAGTCTAGTCTATAGTCTAGTCTATAGTCTAGTCTATAGTCTAGTCTATAGTCTAGTCTATAGTCTAGTCTATAGTCTAGTCTATAGTCTAGTCTATAGTCTAGTCTATAGTCTAGTCTAGTCTAGTCTAGTCTATAGTCTAGTCTATAGTCAAGTCTATAGTCTAGTCTATAGTCTAGTCTATAGTAGTCTATAGTCTAGTCTATAGTCTAGTCTATAGTCTAGTATATAGTCTAGTCTATAGTCTAGTCTATAGTCTAGTCTATAATCTAGTCTATAGTCTAGTCTATAGTCTAGTCTATAGTCTAGTCTATAGTCTAGTCTATAGTCTAGTCTATAGTCTAGTCTATAGTCTAGTCTATAGTCTAGTCTATAGTCTAGTCTATAGTCTAGTCTATAGTCTAGTCTATAGTCTAGTCTATAGTCTAGTCTATAGTCTAGTCTATAGTCTAGTCTATAGTCTAGTCTATAGCCTAGTCTATAGTCTAGTCTATAGTGTAGTATATAGTCTAGTCTATAGTCTAGTCTATAGCCTAGTATATTGTCTAGTATATAGTCTTGTCTATAGTCTAGTCTATAGCCTAGTATAAGTCTAGTCTATAGTCTTGTCTATAGTCTAGTCTATAGTCTAGTCTATAGTCTAGTCTATAGTCTAGTCTATAGTCTAGTCTATAGTCTAGTCTATAGTCTAGTCTATAGTCTAGTCTATATAACATAGTCAGTAGTTTAGTATACAGTATGAATTTAAACAACTTCTTATTGTAAAACAAAAATCCAAATTAAATTTTAGTATTAAAGAAAATTTCAATTTAGTCTGGCAATAAAATGCAGAAACATTCAAAATTGTTAATACCAAGAAGAATAAACGAATGCATGAAAAGTCGTGTCTAGTCACAACACACAGCGTATGAGTAATACACCATATTTTTCTTTATGAATAATATAAACAAACTCACGTCTGGTTGGCCTGTAGCCTATAAAATATCTCTAGGCATTTTCAATTAAATATTTCTTAAATATTATAAAGGTTGGCAGTTTAAAATAAACTTGTGTGGATGTCATGCAAGCAACTGAGTTTAAAAATTTGTGTTTTATTAAAAATAAAATTTTTTAGAAATTAAATTAGAGGAGACTTTTTAAATATACATTTTTGATTTTGTCCCATTTATAAATCACAATGGAATATTTAACTAATTTTTATAAACCTATTTTTCATTAAGAGTACTACATAGCGTATGTTGTATATTTATTTCCATAATATATTAAATAATAATCATACGATTAGATGTCCCTTTTAAATAAATCCTTGGGCAAATTTTTACTTACCTGTGCATTAAATGCATGTCCCAACAGTTCACACAATTGTTTAGCATATTGTTCAGATTTGCCCGTTTCTGTGGCATACAAGACTGTAGCTTTGATACGTTTCGACAAAGCACGTCCAAATAATTTCGATGTAAATTTCACAGCCCTGAAAAATCACAAAAAAAAACGAAAGTAATATTGTTAAATAAACTTATGAATAAATGATTATAGATAAACAGTGGCTAATAGTAAAGTCAATGAATTGTATGTTAGACAATGTTTGTTTAAGGAATAATATCGATATAAAATAAATAAATGAAACAAACCACAAGAAAAGCAAGGGAGATATTAGTATGAAGTAGAACAATAGACCGAGAAGACGAAGAGAAAGAAAAGAGGAGGAAGGGGAGGGGGGAGGAAAGGGGAGGGGCGGAAAGGCGCAAGGAGGGAGGAAAGAGGGAGGAGAGGGGGAGGGGAGAGCGAGCAGCGAGCGAGAGCGAGCGAGCGAGCGAGAGGAGCGAGCGAGCGAGCGAGCGAGCGAGCGAGCGAGCGAGCGAGCGAGCGAGCGAGCGAGCGAGCGAGCGAGCGAGCGAGCGAGCGAGCGAGCGAGCGAGCGAGCGAGCAGCGAGCGAGCGAGCGAGCGAGCGAGCGAGCGAGCGAGCGAGCGAGAGAGCGAGCTAGCGAGCGATCTAGCGATCTAGATATCTATCGATCTATCATCTATCTATCTATCTATCTATCTATCTATCTATCTATCTATCTATCTATCTATCTATCTATCTATCTATCTAAAATACTTTTTATATACCCAGTTTGGTCGTAAAAAGTTTCAATTACTTCATATTTTACTTCATTATTGTATGTATTTTTTCAATTAAAGTTTTTCTTTAAAAACAACATAAATTATACAATAAAAATCTACTTTCCGTTTCTGTTAAACATTTAATCATTATGATGGAACATTTATTACAATCTAATACTATGATGTACATACATATAAGTATGTAGTTTAAGATTAACTTAAAGACCTCCATACGAAATATGGCTTCCAGTTTAGCTAAACTTTTTTTTTGCTATTCATTTGTATGTTTATGATTTTGAGCTTGTCTGTCGCTGTCAGTTTATGATGGTTTGGCTTAATGCCCTCGAAATAAAATGTGTTTTTTTTTTTTGCTAATGAAATACACATACAAACTAAACAAGAAAAACATACAAACAACATCGTTGTTTAGTACAAAACAATTACAAGAACATCAAAAACTATGTCATATACATACAGACAAAAACAAACATACATACATACATACACACATATGTATAAAAAAAATTGCCTGAAATGGAAAAAGGAGAGAGGAGGACAAACAAAATTAAGATTTGTAAACATATCCTTCCTTATTCTAACACAAGCCACTGCTCACATATTCAAGGCACATACATACATATGTAAGTCGTGGTGTGTCGCGGTATTGTTTTTCCTTCCCTCTTTGTTATTTTTTGTTTAAATCTCAAAACAATCATTTAGAATATTGTTATTGTTTGTTTAATGATCCTAAACCATTCGGTGAAAAAGAAGTAAATTTAACATATGCAAGTTAACAAATATCTTGTCAAATTTTTTACCTACTTTTATATTTCTTTAGCGACAAGTATATTCAATTATATATAATTTTTTTATTCATGACCGATTTATTTGTCTTACAATTCAAAATTCTAACTACGTAAAATTACTACAGACTTTTGCAACTCAAATATGGTCTCGCAGATTCTTAAATGAACTAGAACTGAACTAGAACTGAACTAAAACTGAACTAGAACTGAACTAGAACTGAACTAGAACTGAACTAGAACTGAACTAGAACTGAACTAGAACTGAACTAGAACTGAACTAGAACTGAACTAGAACTGAACTAGAACTGAACTAGAACTGAACTAGAACTGAACTAGAACTGAACTAGAACTGAACTAGAACTGAACTAGAACTGAACTAGAACTGAACTAGAACTGAACTAGAACTGAACTAGAAACTGAACTAGAACTGAACTAGAACTGAACTAGAACTGAACTAGAACTGAACTAGAACTGAACTAGAACTGAACTAGAACTGAACTAGAACTGAACTAGAACTGAACTAGAACTGAACTAGAACTGAACTAGAACTGAACTAGAACTGAACTAGAGAACTGAACTAGAACTGAACTAGAACTGAACTAGAACTGAACTAGAACTGAACTAGAACTGACTAGAACCTGAACTAGAACTGAACTAGAACTGAACTAGAACTGAACTAGAACTGAACTAGAACTGAACTAGAACTGAACTAGAACTGAACTAGAACTGAACTAGAACTGAACTAAATGAACTGAACTAGAACTGAACTAGAACTAGAACTGAACTAGAACTGAACTAGAACTGAACTAGACTGAACTAGAACTGAACTAGAACTGAACTAGAACTGAACTAGAACTGAACTAGAACTGAACTAGAACTGAAACTAGAACTGAACTAGAACTGAAACTAGAACTGAACTAGAACTGAACTAGAACTGAACTAGAACTGAAACTAGAACTGAACTAGAACTGAACTAGAACTGAACTAGAACTGAACTAGAACTGACTAGAACTGAACTAGAACTGAACTAGAACTGACTAGAACTAGAACTGAACTAGAACTGAATTAGAACTATTTAAACTAGAACTGAACTAAACATATTTAGAGCCATCCTAACATACTGTTATATAAACCAAATTACCCTCCAAAAAAACAAAAATGACTACAATAATATATGAGTAAGACAACCAATACTAGTGAGGGAACAAGGGTTAAAAGGGAATAGTACAAAAGGGTTGTTCAAACTTTTTAGGAAAATTTCACTTGTAACCAAAATATATTTATTTCTTTCATAGCTAAATATTTTCCATCTTATTTTAATTATTTGAGATAATTACAATAAAAATTCTTTGATATTTGATACAATTAAAAGCTAAAAGTACCATGTTACATTTTGTACTTTGTACATTTCTACTCAACATAGGAGTCTGAGTAATACTACGTGTTGAACTTTCTTTTATGACACCGTAATAAAATGTTTGCCCAGAAACATCACATGGTTAATGTCTGAGGGCCAATTTACTATGATGAAATTTTTATGATGTTGGTGCAAAAAAAAAAAAAAAACAACAAAAAAAGCTGAATAATAAAACTGAATCACATGTTTTACAACATGGCTATGTTGACTGTTTTTATATGGAATGTTAAAACGAAAATTCTTCGGGTAGTGGGAAGCGGGTTCGAAAAACCTAAACACAACACTCTTGACTCTTGTTATCACAGTGACACTTTTAACTGTTGATTTTTTGCAGAAAAAAAGTACAAAGTAAAATATTACAATTTAAAATGAATTTAAAATCCTCTTAAATAAATTTGCAGTCGCATTGTAATGAAAAGTTTTGCATCATAGTTGCTAGCAATTCAGTATTAAATATATTGTTCGCAATGTACGACAATCCATTAACTTATTAACAACATTATGTTGCAAACGTTCTTTTACAAAACGTTTTCTATTAAGTTAAATTGATATGATTTTAAAGTGAATATTTGCAATTATTTATGAACTCTGTTAGATAAAAAATCATGTTTTTTTTGGGTATTAATAAATGCTCACTGTTACTATATGTTTTAAATAATATTTTTTTATTAACACTTTTTAAGCTCATATTTTAAGGTACTTTTGATTCTTAGGTTTAAAAAGGGTTAAATTATGATTCTGAATACTACTTCTGAAATAACACCATTATAAGCACATAGATCAAAACATGTCTGATTTTGTAAAAATTTATTTTCGAATAGCCTTTTTCACATTTTATTTAATAAACTGAATTTTGTCAGACAGTCTGCGCTTGTTCCCATAGAATTTTGTTTGTAAATTTTAATAATGATAATTAACACACACATCATCCTTCTCGTTCTCATGCATGGACAAATTTTAGTGCTTCTTTAATTTCAATATATACATAAACACATACAATAACTACATATATCCTTACACACACATAAAATTGTTTACTGCAAACTGTGCCAGGCATTTCTTATAACTATGTTCTAGTTCTAGTTTAGTTCTAGTTTAGTTCTAGTTCAGTTCTAGTTCAGTTCTAGTTCAGTTCTAGTTCAGTTCTAGTTCAGTTCTAGTTTCTAGTTCAGTTCTAGTTCAGTTCTAGTTCAGTTCTAGTTCAGTTCTAGTTCAGTTCTAGTTCAGTTCTAGTTCAGTTCTAGTTCAGTTCTAGTTCAGTTCTAGTTCAGTTCTAGTCTAGTTCAGTTCTAGTTCAGTTCTAGTTCAGTTCTAGTTCAGTTCTAGTTCAGTTCTAGTTCAGTTCTAGTTCAGTTCTAGTTCAGTTCTAGTTCAGTTCTAGTTCAGTTCTAGTTCAGTTCTAGTTCAGTTCTAGTTCAGTTACTAGTTCAGTTCTAGTTCAGTTCTAGTTCAGTTCTAGTTCAGTTCTAGTTCAGTTCTAGTTCAGTTCTAGTTCAGTTCTAGTTCAGTTCTAGTTCAGTTCTAGTTCAGTTCTAGTTCAGTTCTAGTTCAGTTCTAGTTCAGTTCTAGTTCAGTTCTAGTTCAGTTCTAGTTCATTCTAGTTCAGTTCTAGTTCAGTTCTAGTTCAGTTCTAGTTTCAGTTCTAGTTCAGTTATAGTTCAGTTCTAGTTCAGGTTCTAGTTCAGTTCTAGTTCAGTTCTAGTTCAGTTCTAGTTCAGTTCAGTTCTAGTTCAGTTCTAGTTCAGTTCTAGTTATTCAGTTCAGTTCTAGTTCAGTTCTAGTTCAGTTCTAGTTCAGTTCTAGTTTCCTAGTTCTAGTTCAGTTCTAGTTCAGTTCTAGTTCAGTTCTAGTTCAGTTCTATTCAGTTCTAGTTCAGTTCTAGTTCAGTTCTAGTTCAGTTCTAGTTCAGTTCTAGTTCAGTTCTAGTTCATTTCTAGTTCAGTTCTAGTTCAGTTCTAGTTCAGTTCTAGTTCAGTTCTAGTTCAGTTCTAGTTCAGTTCTAGTTCAGTTCTAGTTCAGTTCTAGTTCAGTTCTAGTTCGTTCTAGTTCAGTTCTAGTTCAGTTCTAGTTCAGTTCTAGTTCAGTTTCAATTCTCAATATCTAAGATTTTTCTTTAAAAGATTCTTAATGCCACTTTTAAAAACTACCGGATATTGATATGAAATTGTTGCGATATTTAAAGTAGCATATGTCGTTTCGTTTTAAAAAACAATAACTACAACTATGAATTTATAAATTAAAAAAAAAAATACTGTTAATAAATTAAATTTCTCTTCATTTGCACATGCACTCAATCACATTGGGCGCAACTGAGTAAACACATACATGTGAAATTATTAAAAAGAGCTGAAAATTGAATATTAAATAAAAAAAAAAATAAAAAATTTATTAATTGTATTAAGCCTGTGCTTAACAATTACATTTAATTGATGTTCTTTCCAAAATTCATTACGTAAGTGTTAAATAAGGTTTTAATTTTTAACACTCTATTTGTAATCAGCGTCATCATCATTGTCAAGCAACTTATCAGATGTGATATTTCGTTTCATCACATGTAAAAATTATTAAAACTTAATCGTGTTCAAGTTAAGAAGTATTAAAAATGTGTGTGATGGTAGAATTATAATTTATATGGGATTTAAACTACATCACTGTTCTATAAAACAAAGTCATCAAACTAAATTGGAAACTACACCGTAAATGGATGTCTTAGTGTATTTAAATATACAAAATGGATATTTATTCGAAACAAGACATGTTGCTATATTTTCAAATCAAACCAAACATTAAAAATCACATAAATATTAACTAACTCAATTTATTTAAATTGAATTAAGATTTTTTTTTTACTTTTGTTACAAAAAATTGCTTTGACTTCCTTACAATAAATAAAATAAACTAATTTACTAAAAACGTCAAAAAGTAAACAAAATACCTAAAAATTTTAATATTTATATTTAATTTACAAAGTTTTCCTACAAGTGGCAAAACCAATAACTAAATTTTATTTTAATTTTTAGTAAAAACACCACATTCAACCAAGTGTAAAGAAAATAGAAAATTTTCAAAAAATTACTTATAAATTCAAAAGTACTTGTTGTGTATTTCCTTTAACAAAAGCAAGATAATCTATGTTTTATTCCTTCTGCTGTTTATGGCAAAAACTTATGAATTCTATCACTTGGAAAATTCTATTAAAAAAGCAAATAATTAAGACTTCCTCCATAAAAGGAAACAAAACACTTCGCAATAGAATCTAAGCAATTTATTTTGATTTCTAACTTTAACATATTCACATGCAAAATTAAAAGTTATTACTTTTTTACGCAAAACTGAAAAAATAATTAAGAATCTTAGAGAAAAATAAAGTTTGTAAACAGTAAATAAATATTTATACATATAAGCAATTACTTTACACATCATTTATTTAAAAAATTTAATTAAATCAAAAAGAAAGAATTAAATTTACAAACGCACAATTACCAGTATATGTAAATCCCTGCAGTTTTAAAAGGCATAGATGTTTATATGTTTTCGAGTCATTAGCAATTTATGTGTTAAGTACAGATAAAGCATAAGATCTAAAAACCATCAGCTATTCCTAAGAAAGCTAGGGACTAATTATATAGTTTTATATTTTCTTTATATTTTACTTAAAAAAATATTCAATTAAGCATCACTGATGAAACCAACAAGATAATTGATTGTAAACAGCTATCAAAAAATCGTAATATATCCCAATCCCTCTGGCACCCCTTAGCGGTAAGTTAGTATAATAGTAAATAAAATTTCTAGATCAAGGGTAGTTATGTATGTATATGCACTGCTGGGATAACAAAGTACATCGCTAGACATGTTTGTGCGTGATTATTTACAAAGCTGTTTTTGAATCTATTTAAAAGAAACAATTTAAATGGAAAGAAAAGAGGAAAAAATAAATAAATTTAAAAGGAAAACAATTCAAATAACACCATTTAATAAAAGAAATGAAAACACATATGTCAATATAATTTTATAACCAAGATGATAGATAGATAGATAGATAGATAGATAGATAGATAGATAGATTGATAGATAGATAGATAGTAGATAGATAATCAGAAGAGTAGATAGATAGATAGATAGATAATAGATAGAATAGATATATAGATAGATAGATGATAGATAGATAGATAGATAGATAGCATAGATAGATAGATAGATAGATAGATGATAATATAGATGACTGCTGTCGCCTCGCTCGCTCTCTCGCTTCGCTCGCTCGCCTCGCTAGCCGCTCGCTCGCTCGCTAGCTCGCTCGCTCGCTCGCTCGCTCGCTCGTCGCTCGCTCCGCTCGCTCGCTCGCATCGCATCGCTCGCTCTCTCGCTCAGCTCGCTCGCTCGCTCGCTCGCTCTGCTCGCTCGCTCGCTCGCTCGCTCGCTCGCTCGCTCGCTCGCTCGCTCGCTCGCTCGCTCGCTCGCTCGCTCGCTCGCTCGCTCGCTCGCTCGCTCGCTCGCTCGCTCGCTCGCTCGCTCGCTCGCTCGCTCGCTCGCTCGCTCGCTCGCTCCTCGCTCGCTCGCTCGCTCGCTGCTCGCTCGCTCGCTCGCTCGCTCGCTCTCGCTCGCTCGCTCGCTCTCGCTCCCTCGCTCGCTCTCGCTCCTCTCTCGCTCGCTCTCGCTCTCTCTCGCTCTCTCTTCTCTCTCTCTCTCTCTCTCTCTCTCTCTCTCTCTCTCTCTCTCTCTCTCTCTCTCTCTCTCTCTCTCTCTCTCTCTCTCTCTCTCTCTCTCTCTCTCTCTCTCTCTCTCTCTCTCTCTCTCTCTCTCTACTCTCTCTCTCTCTCTCTCTCTCTCTCTCTCTCTCTCTCTCTCTCTCTCTCTCTCTACTCTCTCTCTCTCTCTCTCTCTCTCTCTCTCTCTCTCTCTCTCTCTCTCTCTCTCTCTCTCTCTCTCTCTCTCTCTCTCTCTCTCTCTCTCTCTCTCTCTCTCTCTATCTCTCTCTCTCTCTCTCTATCTATCTATCTTCTATCTATCTCTCTATCTATCTATCTATCTATCTTCCCCCATTTAATTTCTATAAGTTTTATTCTCTTTTCTTTCAGAAACGGTGTAAACTAGCTAAGCAGATATCTCAACGTACATCTGGCAGATATTGAATACCACAATATTATTTGTTGCATTTATATGATGACATTTTGTTGACAAAACTTAAAATCATTTATAAATGACGTAAATAAGAACAACATTCATTGATTCCTTTACAAAACATCTCAACAAACTCAAAAACACACAAATTTTAAACACACCCATATAAATACAAAATAAATTATTCTATTTAAAATTATAAATAAGCAAAAGGCTGAAAAGATGTTTTAAGGATGGTATAATATCAAAACTGAAGCAACTCCCATAAACGAGGATAAACACAGAAGTCTTTTAAAAAACTGACAAAAAAGAGGAAGGAAAGTCTTGCTTGATTGATACCTGGCCTTAGCTAAAAAGATAGCTAATTTATTCTACTTATGCTGAGTGATAACAAACACAACAAAATTTGATTGAGTTGTTTTGGGGAGAAAGTCTGATTAACATTTGTAAATGTGGACACACTTTTATCTGTCATTTAGGAATATTTTAAATACTTTTCTGATTGCACTCTTAAATGTTTTCAATATATGCATATGTATTTCTAAATATTCATAGCAAAATATATAAATTTGTATACAAGCTTGTAAATTTGTTGTTACAATAAACTTTAAATAGACTCATGTATATTTATTTTATAACACAAATACGTTCATGAATAAAAAAAAAAAAAACTAAAAAAATAATGAACAACAAGAAATATTGTATAGAATATAGAAATGTCTTCAATCAAAAACACTGAACTGGTACAAACCAATAAAATGTGGCATATAGAGAAAAAATTTAAAAAACAAACTGCTAAGAAAAGTTCGAAAGGCTGAAACAGCCTTAAAAGAATCCTTTCAAGCATTCTACATAGTAGTAGTAGTAGTTTGTTTATCCTTAACTAACAATAAGTATCTGTTATCTATGAGAAAAGTATAAAAGGAGTAGACACAGCCATAGAGATAAATATTTATAAGGAAATAACATTTGTATACCCTTGTAATCCACTTATGGGATAATCCTTTTTGTGGCATCAATATGGTACTAAAGCCACAAGCACAAACCAAAGTAGATCAAACCAACATCAATACAGTAGTATGTAGTAACTTAATGTATACAAATTTATACAACAGACATTTGACTAAATATACATTTACATAGAAATGTATGTAAATATATGAGTAGTTAAGAATATGTCACATGTCAGCAGAAGGATAATAGAAAATCAGTTGTATAATGTGACCAATAACTTTTAAAACATCTGGGTACATTGATTGATACATTACAATTTATACAATCTTGTTTGTCGACTAAATTTTTAAGTGGCCTAAACCTTTATGTTGAATGACCTAAGGAGTTTAAGGGTTTGAAATATAAATCAATTAATAAAATTCTTGATTTATATGTAGGAATAAATATTTTAGAAAAATTGGTAATGCGTTTTATTCTAGCGTCTCTGAAAGTAGCTTTTTTGAATTTGCCTAAAACGTCGAAATATCAGGGGAAATGTTATGATTAAGCACTTTCGGTTCTAGGTTCATCACTCAAAAATATGAGTGATTTGGGTCTATAGTTCAACAGAAAATTTACTATTCTTGAGAACACAGATCTCATGGCATTGCATTCAATTAGGATCAGCTATAACCTTCAGTTCATCCTTAGGCCTACAGATGATCACAATATAGATTCATTCAATAGCTTTATAACTTTTAGGGTTCTATAGTTGAAACGAAAAGTCGACTTTTTGCATTTAGTTAAAAGTCGACTTTTTGACTTTTTGCATTTTATGAAAAGTCGATTTTCGACTAGCCGACTTTTTCATTTAATTAAAAGTCGACTTTTAGACTTTCGACTTTGAGTATTTTATAAATAGTCGACTTTTCGACTTTTCCGACTTTTTGACTATTTTCGACTTCTTTCGACTATTTTTGGCTTTTTTCGAGTTTTTCCGACTATTTTAGAGTTTTTTGACTTTTTTCCACTTTTTTCGACTATTTTTTACTTTTTTCTACTATTTTCGAGTTTTCGAGTTTTCGACTTTTTGCGACTTTATTCGACTTTTTCGACTTTTTTCAACTTATCGACTTTCGACTTTTCTACGTTTTCGACTTTCTGACTTTTTTTCTACTCTTTCGACTTTCCGACTTTATACTTATAACTTTATAACTTTATAACTTTATAACTTTATAACTTTATAACTTTATAACTTTATAACTTTATAACTTTATAACTTTATACTTTATAACTTTATAAGTTATAACTTATACTTATAACTTTATAACTTTATAACTTTATAACTTATAACTTTATAACTTTATAACTTTATAACTTTATAACTTTTTAATTTTTTAACTTTATAAAATTATTTTAATTTCCATGACCTAACACAGTTAATGGTTACATTATTTCCTCTGTCAAGACAAGAGTAAATGAAGACATATGTATATAAATTTCATTTGATATTAATTACACACTTGAATTCAGCTAAATATTATTTGTTTTTTATGCAATCAATATAGAATGTGCACTAAATGTCATAAATAATACAAAACAAAATTATGTCCGTCAAAGGCACGTGTTATTGTTATTCTGAGCTTACCGATTATGGCAAATTTCACAAGGCTGTTGTAAATTTTAAACTTTATTTTTAAATTCACGAGAAAAGTAATTTAAAGTGAAATAGATTAGATCGAGAATTAAGCTCCGTATAGCATCAAGCTATACTAAATTTTTAATACACTCTTGATTTATTTATTTAACATAGTTTGTCTTAAACATATTTGTTAAAATGTCATTAATTAAAGTGCAAATCTTTGCAACAAAAACCTTTAAATTTCCTTTACTATGTTCTATTTTTACTAACAATATGATATTTTATTCCTCCCCCCCATTATTTAGCAAAACATTTCTCCCCTCCAACAGATTTTTTATTGCTAAGTATTATTTGAAATAAATTAAAAACTTACCTTGCAATTTGTTTAAAATTGAATTTTCTTCGTGGTTTCTTGCTTTTGCCATCACCGCGACCCTTCTTCCAGATGTGAGTACGCCAAGCGGGATCTTGATACTCAAATGAGGGTTTCAAATAATACAAAGCCATTTCTTGATGAAATACGGGTGTTATTGAACCCGATAGGGGTGGTACAATCCAAATCCAATCAGCAGGGCAGCCATTTCTACAGATAAATAACAATAATTATATAAGAAAATGCTAACAAATATAGAAAAAATATGTAAATAGTGGTGGAAAATAAAATTTGTTAAGACACAAAATCTACAAATATGTTTTTCTTAAAGAATTTGTCTTTTTTTGTCCGTAACAAATTGTTTTGTTATCGTTATCCTTAAATGTTTGTGGGTGTTTTCTTGTATATCTTTGTGTAAATATCAAATTATTGTAATTGCTGTCATTTGAGTATTTTAATTTATTCAATTACATCGAGACATTTATTCAATGTTTATCACTTTGTATGTAGTACTTAATCTTGGGTATACAATCTTAATCTATTAAATAAGCATTAAGTGATGACAACATTTGAGATTTCAGATTTGACATTCTCGCATTGTCATCTGCATGACAATTTGAAAAATAAATATAAAATGTATTGTAATCTCTTGTTTGTCAATTTAAAGTGTTACAAGATATTATATGCAGACATACATATGTACATATTAAGGTGTTTTATTTTTTCGAATTAGTATTAGAATTAGAAAAAAAGTAGCAAAAAAAGGAAAATTTCATTGTATTCCATATTATTGTTATAATTAATTTTATCAAGCGTAATAAGATATTGGTGTGTTATTTGAAATAAGGTTGCCTCAGCGCCAAATTCGGGTAAATAGTTTGGTACTTTTTTAAAATATTATTATACTTTTTCGATGTTCAAATGGAACATTTTAAAATTTTCTGTTATATGCGCTCATTGGTTCTATTTCTCCAAATAGTACTTTAAAATTTCCATAATATGCATCCAAACACATGAAATCGAATATAGACGGACCTTATGGAAAGGGAATCTATGGGAGGGAATTTGTTTGTACTTTATAGTTCTTAAAATGAAGTAAAGTTATAAAGTTATATTATAAGTTTAAAGTTATAAGTTATAAAGTTATAAAGTTATAAGTTCTAAAGTTATAAAGTTATCCGTTCTCCCGTCTCCGTTCTCCTTCCAGTTATACAGTTCACGTTCTCCCGTTCTCCGTTCTCATTCTCCCGTTCTCCGTTCTCCCGTTCTCCCGTTCTCCCGTTCCCGTTCTCCCGTTCTCCCGTTCTCCCGTTCTCCCGTTCTCCCGTTCTCCCGTTCCCCGTTCTCCCGTTCTCCGTTCTCCCGTTCTCCCGTTCTCCGTTCTCCCGTTCTCCCGTTCTCCGTTCCCCGTTCTCCCGTTCTCCGTTCTCCCGTTCTCCCGTTCTCCGTTCTCCCGTTCTCCGTTCTCCCGTTCTCCCGTTCTCCCGTTCTCCCGTTCTCCCGTTCTCCCTTTCTCCCGTTCTCCCGTTCTCCCGTTCTCCCGTTCTCCCGTTTCTCCCGTTCTCCCGTTCTCCCGTTCTCCCTTCTCCCGTTCTCCCGTTCCCGTTCTCCCGTTCTCCTTTCAAGTTATCGCCCTATTGCCGATATACCTTTCGACGCAGAAAGAGGGAATTTTTCGTCCTTTTTAGTTCCTCAAACGGTACTTTTTGAGTTTTTTTCTTCCCCATAGTGAACTTTTAAAACAATTTTTTATAAAAAAAACGAAGGACAGATAGAGGGTCATAGATTAAAATCGACTCCGGTATCTAATTGTGGAAATTACAAAAGAATTTTAACATTAAAACAACATCGATTGTATGTTTTTCGAGTTAAATCCTGTTGGTAAATAAACGCCGACTTTACTTGAAAAGTCATTTCCGAGGTCAAAGTTTAAATTTGAAGTTATTGTAAAAAAACAATTTGCAACAATTTCAAAATTCATTCCACCACTTGTCCATAGGGACAACAAAATTCATTATGTGGTTTTCAACAAATATATTATTTTTACCAAAATACTTGACACCTTTTTCATTTAGTGTATTAATATTTTGCTTCCTTTTTTTTCGAATAAAACTCCTCGAAACCTTAAAAATGTTTGCTAACCAATAATTCAAACATAAAATTACTCTCAATTGAAAAAGTTTTTACAATGTGCAAAAAAGGGAAACACATTTATCAAAACGGATATTTAGCGATGTTCACTTCCTCCTCCGTCCACCCCCAAAAACGATAAACCAATTCAACAACAAAAATTTTACACATAAATATGCAATCATATGTTCACGCAGACAAATAAACCACAAAAATTGGGAAATATTGAAAAAACCCAGTAGTACTGTAATTCTTCCCTTAATTTTAAAGCTGGTCATCGTAAACTAAATCCATTACCTATCTAACTTGTTACTTCACCATCTAATTGGCTACTGGTAGTGAGTAAAGTAGACAATTCTTAATAACTTACAGGTAGTGCCTAAAAGTTCTACAAAGCCACATCCAAATCTAAAAGGTTTGATACAAAAAAACAAATTGAAAAACATCAATTTGTTTTTTGCACGTTTACAACCTGTTACAATAAAGTAGCTGATAAATATATAAACATGAATATTCGCAATAAATTCCCACAGGAATGTAGCTAAACCAACACATTTTATATTGCCATATAACAGTTAACATGATTTCCCTATACTCACGTACTAAAACCTGAACAATCTGAAGAGAAGACTCTTTTAATGGAGGAAAATATAAAAGTATGTTTGGCCTTTGCATTTTTAGTTAAACATTATTTGTTGGCAGTAAAATTATATACTTGTAAACGATAGTAATGTCAAATAAACCATGTTTGATCATAAATTATTAGAAATAACGCTATAGCCTTAGCAAAAAGTAAATCCCAAAAAGCTACAAGGGGGACCATGCACCATAGGGTTACATGAATATACTAATAAGGTTTAATTAAAAAACGAGCAAAGGATTTCCTTTCAATACCAACTGTAGTTCGATCGGTCTGGTATATTTATTCCAACATTCAATTCAATTTAACACATAATCAATAGACTGAGAGTGGTAAGGGTCCCCCTTGTTTCCTTTGAAAGACCCTTGATTATATTGTGAACCAAATATAAACTCCTGAAATCTAGACTATAGACTAACTGTAGACTAGACTATAGACTAGACTATAGACCAGACTATAGACTAGACTATAGACTAAACTATAGACTAGACTATAGACTAGACTATAGACCAGACTATAGACTAGACTATAGACTAGACTATAGACTAGACTATAGACTAGACTATAGACCAGACTATAGACTAAACTATAGACTAGACTATAGACCAGACTATAGACTAGACTATAGACTAGACTATAGACTAGACTATAGACTAGACCATAGACTAGACTATAGACTAGACTATAGACTAGACTATAGACTAGACTATAGACTAGACTAGACTATAGACTAGACTGTAGACTAGACTAGACTATAGACTAGACTATAGACTAGACTATAGACTAGACTATAGACTAGACTATAGACTAGACTATAGACTAGACTATAGACTAGACTATAGACTAGACTATAGACTAGACTATAGACTAGACTATAGACTAGACTATAGACTAGACTATAGACTAGACTATAGACTAGACTATAGACTAGACTATAGACTAGACTATAGACTAGACTATAGACTAGACTATAGACTAGACTATAGACTAGACTATAGACTAGACTATAGACTAGACTATAGACTAGACTATAGACTAGACTATAGACTAGACTATAGACTAGACTATAGACTAGACTATAGACTAGACTATAGACTAGACTATAGACTAGACTATAGACTAGACTATAGACTAGACTATAGACTAGACTATAGATTAGACTATAGACTAGACTATAGACTAGACTATAGACTAGACTATAGATTAGACTATAGACTAGACTATAGACTAGACTATAGACTAGACTATAGACTAGACTACAGACTAGACTATAGACTAGACTATAGATTAGACTATAGACTAGACTATAGACTAGACTATAGACTAGACTATAGACTAGACTATAGACTAGACTGTAGACTAGACTATAGACTAGACTATAGACTAGACTATAGACTAGACTATAGACTAGACTATAGACTAGACTATAGACTAGACTATAGACTAGACTATAGACTAGACTATAGACTAGACTATAGACTAGACTATAGACTAGACTATAGACTAGACTATAGACTAGACTATAGACTAGACTATAGACTAGACTATAGACTAGACTATAGACTAGACTATAGACTAGACTATAGACTAGACTATAGACTAGACTATAGACTAGACTATAGACTAGACTATAGACTAGACTATAGACTAGACTATAGACTAGACTATAGACTAGACTATAGACTAGACTATAGACTAGACTATAGACTAGACTATAGACTAGACTATAGACTAGACTATAGACTAGACTATAGACTAGACTATTGACTAGACTATAGACTAGACTATAGACTAGACTATAGACTAGACTATAGACTAGACTATAGACTAGACTATAGACTAGACTATAGATTAGACTATAGACTAGACTATAGACTAGACTATAGACTAGACTATAGACTAGACTATAGATTAGACTATAGACTAGACTATAGACTAGACTATAGATTAGACTATAGACTAGACTATAGACTAGACTATAGACTAGACTATAGACTAGACTATAGACTAGACTATAGACTAGACTATAGACTAGACTATAGACTAGACTATAGACTAGACTATAGACTAGACTATAGACTAGACTATAGACTAGACTATAGACTAGACTATAGACTAGACTATAGACTAGACTATAGACTAGACTATAGACTAGACTATAGACTAGACTATAGACTAGACTATAGACTAGACTATAGACTAGACTATAGACTAGACTATAGACTAGACTATAGACTAGACTATAGACTAGACTATAGACTAGACTATATAGACTAGACTATACTAGACTATAGACTACTATAGACTAGACTATAGACTAGACTATAGACTAGACTATAGACTAGACTATAGACTAGACTATAGACTAGACTATAGACTAGACTATAGACTAGACTATAGACTAGACTATAGACTAGACTATAGACTAGACTATAGACTAGACTATAGACTAGACTATAGACTAGACTATAGACTAGACTATAGATTAGACTATAGACTAGACTATAGACTAGACTATAGACTAGACTAGACTATAGACTAGACTATAGACTAGACTATAGACTAGACTATAGACTAGACTATAGACTAGACTACAGACTAGACTATAGACTAGACTATAGATTAGACTATAGACTAGACTATAGACTAGACTAGACTATAGACTAGACTATAGACTAGACTATAGACTAGACTGTAGACTAGACTATAGACTAGACTATAGACTAGACTGTAGACTAGACTATAGACTAGACTATAGACTAGACTATAGACTAGACTATAGACTAGACTATAGACTAGACTATAGACTAGACTATAGACTAGACTATAGACTAGACTATAGACTAGACTATAGACTAGACTATAGACTAGACTATAGACTAGACTATAGACTAGACTATAGACTAGACTATAGACTAGACTATAGACTAGACTATAGACTAGACTATAGACTAGACTATAGACTAGACTATAGATTAGACTATAGACTAGACTATAGACTAGACTATAGACTAGACTATAGACTAGACTATAGACTAGACTATAGACTAGACTATAGACTAGACTATAGACTAGACTATAGACTAGACTATAGACTAGACTATAGACTAGACTATAGACTAGACTATAGACTAGACTATAGACTAGACTATAGACTAGACTATAGATTAGACTATAGACTAGACTATAGACTAGACTATAGACTAGACTATAGACTAGATTATAGACTAGACTATAGACTAGACTGTAGACTAGACTATAGACTAGACTATAGACTAGACTATAGACTAGACTATAGACTAGACTATAGACTAGACTATAGACTAGACTATAGACTAGACTATAGACTAGACTATAGACTAGACTATAGACTAGACTATAGACTAGACTATAGACTAGACTATAGACTAGACTATAGACTAGACTATAGACTAGACTATAGACTAGACTATAGACTAGACTATAGACTAGACTATAGACTAGACTATAGACTAGACTATAGACTAGACTATAGACTAGACTATAGACTAAGACTATAGACTAGACTATAGACTAGACTAGACTAGACTATAGACAGACTATAGACTAGACTATAGACTAGACTATAGACTAACGATCGACAGACTATAGACTAGACTATAGACTAGACTATAGACTAGACTATAGACTAGACTATAGACTAGACTATAGACTAGACATATAGACTAGACTATATAGACTAACTTATAACTAGACTATAGACTAGACTATACTAGACTATAGACTAGACTATAGACTAGACTAAGATAGACTAGACTAGACTATAGACTAGACTATAGACTAGACTATAGACTAGACTATATACTAGACTATAGACTAGACTATAGCTAGACTATAGACTAGACTATAGACTAGACTATAGACTAGACTATAGAATAGAACCCTAAGACTATAGACTAGACTATAGACTAGAGAGACAACTATGTGAACTTCTTAAGAAAGTTAGAAAAGGTAGTATTATTTTTAATATCAAAGTACTGAAAAAAAGTACTAAAGCACTGAATTTCCATGCTTGATACTCATACTTAAGGATTTATGAAAATTAAAGTACTTTTTCTAATTAAAACCTAAGACTTTGAAAGTAATTCTGAGCCGATTGTATTATATAATACCCTTCCCATCTATAATAATAACTCTAATCCCCCTGCTAACATAAGGTAAATAAATAAAAATTTATGATATAAAACACATGTGTTAATATTATTTTTTACATCCGAAACAGTCCCTCAACAGTCATAGAAACCTTGTAAACATAAAAAAGCCAATTGCTTTATTTTTTCTTACTTTGTGATTCATCCCAACTACTAACACATCAGTTAGAATATAAGTAATTGGTATGTATGTATATGAAAACTCACCGTAATTTTGATTCATTTTCAAAATGTTTCATAAACTTTCACTTGCGGTATGATGATCCACAATGGTGACATTACGACTTTGATATGATGTAAAACAGCAATATTAACTTCAAACCACAGCTTTATCTTTCCACAAGGAGGTTGGCGTACGTGTATCCAGATTCATTTTTAATGCACAGTCTAGTCACAAACGAAATATAAAAAAAAATAAAACATTTATCATTTGTATTCAGCCACTTAATGATGTAAAGAAAGATTACTTTTTGATCAAAAAAAATTGTGACACATTCTTGTAAAAATAATTTACTTTAAAACATAAAATTAATGATTAACAACATTTTTATTTTTTAATAATTTTTGTTTCTTTCTTTTTAGTGTTTTCTTTTTAAGAAACATACCTCCAAAATATTACGACGATTTGGTGTCGCATAAATTACGACAACCAATTTCAGTGGACATGTACCAGCCACTGAATGTGGTGGCTGTAAATTGTATACCACCAACATCGAATAACATGCTGGATACGGCAGGTAAAGCATACCATCGCAAGTTCATCTCACCAAACCATTCATATCTATAACGAAAAAAAAAACATCACAGAAATTTATAAAATTGAAACGGAATAAAGAATAAAATATGAAGGAAGGGTATTGCAACATAAACTCAAGATTTAAATCACTTCTTTGGTTCCAGTTAAAATACAATTACAGTTATGTTTCCCATTCTTTTAATTGGTTATGATAAAAGATGTCATGCAGTAACGCAGAAGTGCACTCTGGGCCAGAAATTAAATTTTTCGGTCGTTATTAAAACAGTGGACCTAAGTTCTAGTTCAGTTCTAGTTCAGTTCTAGTTCAGTTCTAGTTCAGTTCTAGTTCAGTTCTAGTTCAGTTCTAGTTCAGTTCTAGTTCAGTTCTAGTTCAGTTCTAGTTCAGTTCTAGTTCAGTTCTAGTTTAGTTCTAGTTCAGTTCTAGTTCAGTTCTAGTTCAGTTCTAGTTCAGTTCTAGTTCAGTTCTAGTTCAGTTCTAGTTCTAGTTCAGTTCTAGTTCAGTTCTAGTTCAGTTCTAGTTCAGTTCTAGTTCTAGTTCAGTTCTAGTTCAGTTCTAGTTCAGTTCTAGTTCAGTTCTAGTTCAGTTCTAGTTCAGTTCTAGTTCAGTTCTAGTTCAGTTCTAGTTCAGTTCTAGTTCAGTTCTAGTTCAGTTCTAGTTCAGTTCTAGTTCAGTTCTAGTTCAGTTCTAGTTCAGTTCTAGTTCAGTTCTTCAGTTCTAGTTCAGTTCTAGTTCAGTTCTAGTTCAGTTCTAGTTTCCGTTCTAGTTCATTCTAGTTCAGTTCTAGTTCAGTTCTAGTTCAGTTCTAGTTCAGTTCTAGTTCAGTTTCTAGTTCAGTTCTAGTTCAGTTCTAGTTCAGTTCTAGTTCAGTTCTAGTTCAGTTCTAGTTCAGTTCTAGTTCAGTTCTAGTTGTTCTAGTTCAGTTCTAGTTCAGTTCTAGTTCAGTTCTAGTTCAGTTCTAGTTCAGTTTAGTTCAGTTCTAGTTCAGTTCTAGTTCAGTTCTAGTTCTAGTTCAGTTCTAGTTCAGTTCTAGTTCAGTTCTAGTTCAGTTCTAGTTCAGTTCTAGTTCAGTTCTAGTTCAGTTCTAGTTCAGTTCTAGTTCAGTTCTAGTTCAGTTCTAGTTCAGTTCTAGTTCAGTTCTAGTTCAGTTCAGTTCAGTTCTAGTTCAGTTCTAGTTCAGTTCTAGTTCAGTTCTAGTTCAGTTCTAGTTCAGTTCTAGTTCAGTTCTAGTTCAGTTCTAGTTCAGTTCTAGTTCAGTTCTAGTTCAGTTCTAGTTCAGTTCTAGTTCAGTTCTAGTTCAGTTCTAGTTCAGTTCTAGTTCAGTTCTAGTTCAGTTCTAGTTCAGTTCTAGTTCAGTTCTAGTTCAGTTCTAGTTCAGTTCTAGTTCAGTTCTAGTTTCAGTTCTAGTTCAGTTCTAGTTCAGTTTAGTTCAGTTCTAGTTCAGTTCTAGTTCAGTTCTAGTTCAGTTCTAGTTCAGTTCTAGTTCAGTTCTAGTTCAGTTCTAGTTCAGTTCTAGTTCTTTCTAGTTCAGTTCTAGTTCAGTTCTAGTTCAGTTCTAGTTCAGTTCTAGTTCTAGTTCAGTTCTAGTTCAGTTCTAGTTCAGTTCTAGTTCAGTTCTAGTTCAGTTCTAGTTCAGTTCTAGTTCAGTTCTTGAAACGGAATAAAGAATAAAATATGAAGGAAGGGTATTGCAACATAAACTCAAGATTTAAATCACTTCTTTGGTTCCAGTTAAAATACAATTACAGTTATGTTTCCCATTCTTTTATTGGTTATGATAAAAGATGTCATGCAGTAACGCAGAAGTGCACTCTGGGCCAGAAATTAAATTTTTCGGTCGTTATTAAAACAGTGGACCTAAGTTCTAGTTCAGTTCTAGTTCAGTTCTAGTTCAGTTCTAGTTCAGTTCTAGTTCAGTTCTAGTTCAGTTCTAGTTCAGTTCTAGTTCAGTTCTAGTTCAGTTCTAGTTCAGTTCTAGTTCAGTTTCTAGTTCAGTTCTAGTTCAGTTCTAGTTCAGTTCTAGTTCAGTTCTAGTTCAGTTCTAGTTCAGTTCTAGTTCAGTTCTAGTTCAGTTCTAGTTCAGTTCTAGTTCAGTTCTAGTTCAGTTCTAGTTCAGTTCTAGTTCAGTTCTAGTTCAGTTCTAGTTCAGTTCTAGTTCAGTTCTAGTTCAGTTCTAGTTCAGTTCTAGTTCAGTTCTAGTTCAGTTCTAGTTCAGTTCTAGTTCAGTTCTAGTTCATTCTAGTTCAGTTCTAGTTCAGTTCTAGTTCAGTTCTAGTTCAGTTCTAGTTCAGTTCTAGTTCAGTTCTAGTTCAGTTCTAGTTCAGTTCTAGTTCAGTTCTAGTTCAGTTCTCTAGTTCAGTTCTAGTTCAGTTCTAGTTCAGTTCAGTTCAGTTCAGTTCTAGTTCAGTTCTAGTTCAGTTCTAGTTCAGTTCTAGTTCAGTTCTAGTTCAGTTCTAGTTCAGTTCTAGTTCAGTTCTAGTTCAGTTCTAGTTCAGTTCTAGTTCAGTTCTAGTTCAGTTCTAGTTCAGTTCTAGTTCAGTTCTAGTTCAGTTCTAGTTTCAGGTTCTAGTTCAGTTCTAGTTCAGTTCTAGTTCAGTTCTAGTTCAGTTCTAGTTCAGTTCTAGTTCAGTTCTAGTTCAGTTCTAGTTCAGTTCTAGTTCAGTTCTAGTTCAGTTCTAGTTCAGTTTCAGTTCAGTTCTAGTTCAGTTCTAGTTTCAGTTCTAGTTCAGTTCTAGTTCAGTTCTAGTTCAGTTCTAGTTCAGTTCTAGTTCAGTTCTAGTTCAGTTCTAGTTCAGTTCTAGTTCAGTTCTAGTTCAGTTCTAGTTCAGTTCTAGTTCAGTTCTAGTTCAGTTCTAGTTCAGTCTAGTTCAGTTCTAGTTCATTCTAGTTCAGTTCTAGTTCAGTTCTAGTTCAGTTCTAGTTAGTTCAGTTTCTAGTTCAGTTCTAGTTCAGTTCTAGTTCAGTTCTAGTTCAGTTCTAGTTCTAGTTCAGTTCTAGTCAGTTCTAGTTCAGTTCTAGTTCAGTTCTAGTTCAGTTCTAGTCAGTTCTAGTTCAGTTCTAGTTCAGTTCTAGTTCAGTTCTAGTTCAGTTCTAGTTCAGTTCTAGTTCAGTTCTAGTTCAGTTCTAGTTCAGTTCTAGTTCAGTTCTAGTTCAGTTCTAGTTCAGTTCTAGTTCAGTTCTAGTTCAGTTCTAGTTCAGTTCTAGTTCAGTTCTAGTTCAGTTCTAGTTCAGTTCTAGTTCAGTCTAGTTCAGTTCTAGTTCAGTTCTAGTTCAGTTCTAGTTCAGTTCTAGTTCAGTTCTAGTTCAGTTCTAGTTCAGTTCTAGTTCAGTTCTAGTTCAGTTCTAGTCAGTTCAGTTCAGTTCTAGTTCAGTTCTAGTTCAGTTCTAGTTCAGTTCTAGTTCAGTTCTAGTTCAGTTCTAGTTCAGTTCTAGTTCAGTTCTAGTTCAGTTCTAGTTCAGTTCTAGTTCAGTTCTAGTTCAGTTCTAGTTCGTTCTAGTTCAGTTCTAGTTCAGTTCTAGTTCAGTTCTAGTTCAGTTCTAGTTCAGTTCTAGTTCAGTTCTAGTTCAGTTCTAGTTCAGTTCTAGTTCAGTTCTAGTTCAGTTCTAGTTCAGTTCTAGTTCAGTTCTAGTTCAGTTCAGTTCAGTTCTAGTTCAGTTCTAGTTCAGTTCTAGTTCAGTTCTAGTTCAGTTCTAGTTCAGTTCTAGTTCAGTTCTAGTTCAGTTCTAGTTCAGTTCTAGTTCAGTTCTAGTTCAGTTCTAGTTCAGTTCTAGTTCAGTTCTAGTTCAGTTCTAGTTCAGTTCTAGTTCAGTTCTAGTTCAGTTCTAGTTCAGTTCTAGTTCAGTTCTAGTTCAGTTCTAGTTCAGTTCTAGTTCAGTTCTAGTTCAGTTCTAGTTCAGTTCTAGTTCAGTTCTAGTTCAGTTCTAGTTCAGTTCTAGTTCAGTTCTAGTTCAGTTCTAGTTCAGTTCTAGTTCAGTTCTAGTTCAGTTCTAGTTCAGTTCTAGTTCAGTTCTAGTTCAGTTCTAGTTCAGTTCTAGTTCAGTTCTAGTTCAGTTCTAGTTCAGTTCTAGTTCAGTTCTAGTTCAGTTCTAGTTCAGTTCTAGTTCAGTTCTAGTTCAGTTCTAGTTCAGTTCAGTTCAGTTCTAGTTCAGTTTTAATTCAGTTTTAGTTCAGTTCTAGTTCAAAGTCTCCAGATTAAGAATACATAAAATTGGTTCCCCTCTACCTGAATTTAATTTTTTTAACCAAAAAATGAGATTTCTGGCCCAGTGTATGGTATCAGATTTTTAACATAATTTATAGTGCGACGCATCAGTAAGGTCTGTATCAATTTAAATTTTAATTTTGTTAAAAATATGTATTTTTATATACAAAACTCTCTTAAATTCTAAAGTAAACTTCAATTTAAAATTACAATTATTTAAATTGACCAGTGAATATGAATTGTCTATTAAATCTAAACTCAATTTCGTGTTTTGCAATTTCTTAGTTAAATATTTGTTTAATAAAGTTAGCCCTTCTTTTTGCACACTTTTACCAATATTATTTTTAAACTATAACATTTTATGTATTTACTTTACTATGATCCGATTAAGTGATAAAAAGATAAAAATAGTAAAAAAAAAGAAATGATTTTGTTATACTAAATATTTAAAATTGAAAAGTATAAAAGGTGTAGCCAATAAAGTAGGGATACAAATAAAATCGTAAGAGTATAGGAGTTACAAATAATTTTTTTAAAAAAATATGGGGACATTAGTAGTCTATTCTGAAAGATATTTGCGATTTAACAGAAATAACATTAAACTAACTTTTTACAGACACTTTTTACTCTATATATTCTTATTTATTTTTACTATAACTATTATAAAGTATCATTTCTAACACTATCAAAATTCATTTAAAATGCCATCATACATAAATATTTATAAGTGTGTATGTGCTACACACACACATACATACATATACTTATTTATGTATGGTTGAAAAACTCATCTGTATTCCAAACACAAAATATTCAAATAACCACAATATTCAATAAAAAAACACAAACACTTTCTTAAACAAGTAGAAAAGTTGGAAGGAAAATAATTTTACCTTTAACCAACATACAATAAAAATAAACCAAAATTATAACACACACACACACATAATATGGGACACACACATCCGGATATAGACCAAAAATTTTCACTTTAGTTGAAGCAACCAGATGACCACTTAAGGCAGTTTTACTTAACAAAACAACAACTACATCAACTAGTATGTACCACAGTACTTGTAAAACTACTTTCACAACCACAATGATCGATAGTTGCTACTACTACAACTACATATTTTTTTTATAGTACAAAGGACATCATGTCCTTGTTGTGTTATAGCTAACACCTGTAGGTGTCTTGATGGTAAAATTGACACACATTTCCTGCCTAGACTTGATGTTATTGTAAGGTCATAAGAAAGAGATAATAAAACAATAATATTGTAAACTTACTTTGGATGACTTAATGGAACTTCTAAAATTAATTCCGGTGGATAATCGAAATAATCTGGATCATGACCATTGGCTGATACGACTAAAGGTAAAATATCCCATTCGGTACCTTTGCCTTTCCAACCCAATTTCATGCAGACCTAAAAATATAATCAAAAGTAAATTAGAATAAATATATTTTAAAATCGATCACTTTTTTTAAATTATCGAAAAACAATCTTATATTAAAAAGCGTCTTTTTAATGAAATCGATCAGTTTTCTTTAGACAATTTTTCGATGAAAGCGATCAATCTATCAGTTTTCTCATAAAAAACTTTTTTGCAATCAGTCGATCAGTTCTTTTCAACATAATCGATCAGTTTTCTATAGAAAACTTTTCGATATAAACGATCAGTTTTCTAATGAAAACATTTCGATATAAACGATCAGTTTTCAATAGAAATCATTTCGATACAAACGATCAGTTTTCTATAGAAAACATTTCGATATAATCGATCATTTTCTATAGAAAACATTTCGATATAAACGATCAGTTTTCTATAGAAAACGTTTCGTTATAATCGATCAGTTTTCTATAGAAAACTTTTCGATTGTATCGATCAGTTTTCTATAGAAAACTTTTCGATTGTATCGATCAGTTTTCTTTAGAAAACTTTTCGCTATAATCGATCAGTTTTCTATAGAAACCTTTTCGATGAGAACAATCGATCAGTTTTTCGATGTAATCGATCAGACTTTCGTTATAATCTATCAGATTTTTATAGAAAACTTTTCGTTATAATCGATCAGTTTTTTTAGAAAATTTTTCGATGTTTTCGATCAGTATTGTATAGACAGAATCGATCAGTTTTCTATAGAAAACTTTTCGATTATATCGATCAGTTTTCTTTAGAAAACTTTTCGATTTTATCGATCAGTTTTCTCTAGAAAACTTTCGTTATTATCGATCAGTTTTTTTAGAAAATTTTTCGATGTTTTCGACCAGTATTGTATAGATAGAATCGATCAGTTTTCTATAGAAAACTTTTCGATTATATCGATCAGTTTTCTTTAGAAGACTTTTCGATTATATCGATCAGTTTTCTTTAGAAGACTTTTCGATTATATCGATCAGTTTTCTTTAGAAAACTTTTCAATTGTATCGATCAGTTTTCTTTAGAAAACTTTTCGTTATAATCGATCTTTTTTTCAGAAAATTGTTCGATGTTATCGATCAGTTTTCTATAGAAAACTTTTCGTTATAATCGATCAGTTTTCTATAGAAACCTTTTCGATGAGAACAATCGATCAGTTTTTCGATGTAATCGATCAGACTTTCGTTATAATAGATCAGTTTTTTATAGAAAACTTTTCGTTATAATCGATCAGTTTTTTTAGAAAATTTTTCGATGTTTTCGATCAGTATTGTATAGACAGAATCGATAAGTTTTCTATAGAAAACTTTTCGATTGTATCGATCAGTTTTCCATAGAAAACTTTTCGATTGTATCGATCAGTTTTCTATAGAAAACTTTTCGATTGTATCGATCAGTTTTCTATAGAAAACTTTTCGATTGTATCGATCAGTTTTCTATAAAAAACTTTTCGATTGTATCGATCAGTTTTCTGTAGAAAACTTTTCGATTGTATCGATCAGTTTTCTATAGAAAACTTTTCCATTGTATCGATCAGTTTTCTATAGAAAACTTTTCCATTGTATCGATCAGTTTTCTATAGAAAACTTTTCGATTGTATCGATCAGTTTTCTATAGAAAACATTTCGATTGTATCGATCAGTTTTCTATAGAAAACTTTTCGATTGTATCGATCAGTTTTCTATAGAAAACTTTTCGATTGTATCGATCAGTTTTCTATAGAAAACTTTTCGATTGTATCGATCAGTTTTCTATAGAAAACTTTTCGATTGTATCGATCAGTTTTCTATAGAAAACTTTTCGATTGTATCGATCAGTTTTCTATAGAAAACTTTTCGATTGTATCGATCAGTTTTCTGTAGAAAACTTTTCGATTGTATCGATCAGTTTTCTGTAGAAAACTTTTCGATTGTATCGATCAGTTTTCTGTAGAAAACTTTTCGATTGTATCGATCAGATTTCTGTAGAAAATGTTTCGATGTTATTGATCACTTTTCTTTAGAAAACTTTTCGATGTTATCGATCAGTATTCTTTGGAAAACTTTTCGGTGAGATTGATTGATTAATTTTTTCTTAAAAAAACTTTTTGATATTATCGATCTACCAGTTTTCACAGTAACTTCTCGTTATAATCTATCGATCAATTTTCTTTAGAAAACTTTTCTATTATAGAAAACTTTTTCTATTAAATAATATTAAATTATTCCTTTTATTAAATTAAAATAATTTTCTATAAAAATTGTCTTTATTTTAAATAAATAATCAAAATAAACACGAACAAAAGATTACACCACACTATGGTTGTTTAAATAAAACCCTTATAATTCCTTTTGTCATCTGTTTTAATCTTTCACCCAAATGAAAAACTGCAACAGAAGAACAACAAATAAAATTCAAAATTTACCTCAGTAAATTCAACATTCATGGGATCTCCAATGATTTTGCCATCCGCTTGTTTGTAACCAGCATACGAGATAAGCTGAGCATTCCAAATACGATAATCATGACGTCCATCTGTACGCTGTGGAAATATGGTGATGGCTGACCTGTGCATCCAAAAATTGTTAGTTTTTTTTTATTTATTTAAAACATTCAACCGTGTTATTTGGCGAACAGAGTCAGAGATGAAATGAAATTGAAAATAAGTAGTAGAAAGAAAACAACATTAAATATATTGCATGAAATATAGTTTAATAGAGATTTATTTGCATACAATTTTTTCCTGTCATCCATTACCGTTAAAAATTATATAAAAAACATCAGCTAAATGAAACATTTCGAAATGAAAACTATTTGTATTAAATAAAAAAACAATCTGTATAAAAATACAAATTTCCATTTACTGTCAGTCATTATTATTTGTTCTTTCTATTGGATGCATTATAAGAGTTTTGTTTGTTTTGTTGGTCAAATTTAATTGGTAGTTAGGTTTTTTATCCATTTTTTAAGCAAATGTGTATTTTTTTGGGATTTAATAGAAAACGGATTTATTTCCCTGGTTTATATGAGTTTTTATGCTTGAACATATGGCAAGATTTATTACGTTTGAACACGTTAACATTTAAAACAACATTAGATAATTGAATTTTTTGTTTAAATTAAAATGTAAATTTGTTTATAAATATTAATATTTATTTATTATTTTTTTTTTGTTGTTGTTTGTGTTGTTATTAGCTTGTAAAGCAATTAGAAAAGTTATATAAATTTGTGTAAATTGTTAAAATAAAGTTGAAAAAAAATATTAATTGCTTTAAAAAAGTCAACTTTATTTAAAGGTCACCGGTGGCGTATGATTTATGTTTAATTCAAAATATTTACAAATTTAGCTAAAATGTGTTGCCATATTTGTAATAATTTATATAGAAGCAATTATTATTAATATTTGTGGGTGTTTGCCACAATTTTAACTCATATACTTAAAACCATTTCAATCAATATTACTCATACGCAGCAGGTGAACACAGTATGAGTTTTATCTTTTAATCGACCAAGAAATTGTTGTTGTTGCTTTATTTTCAAAAATTCAATTATTAAATAATCAAATAATTTTTAATAACACGCATAATTTTTAAGTAAATTTCAAAAAAGTTGTCAAACAAGTTCTACTATAGAACATTTTAGTCGTAACTATAGGTCAGTCTATTGTCTTGAGTATAAAGTAACAAATAGTCAAGTCTGTAGATAATCTATAGACTTGAAAACAAATCTATGGTCTTAACTATAGACCATTCTATAGTCTTGACTCTTGATCAGTCTATAGTATTGACTATAGATCAGTCTATAGTCTTGACTATGGATCAGTCTATAGTCTTAACTATGGATCAGCGTATAGTCTTGACTATAGATCAGTCTATAGTCTTGACTATAGATCAGTCTATATTCTTGACTATAGATCAGTCTATAATCTTGACAATGGATCAGCCTATAGTCTTGACTTTGGATCAGACTATAGTCTTGACTTTGGATCAGCGTATAGTCTTGACTATAGATCAGTCTATAGTCTTGACTATAGATCAGTCTATAATCTTGACAATGGATCAGCCTATAGTCTTGACTATAGATCAGTCTATAGTCTTGACTATGGATCAGTCTATTATAGTCTTGACTATGGATCGCATTATAGACAGCAAAGAAGTAACACATAAATAAATAAATAAAACAAGAAAATAAGAATATACTGGTTTTTGTTAATACCGTAAGAGTTTATTACAGTGATCTTGACTATAGATCAGTCTATAGTCATGACTATAGATCAGTCTATAGTCTTAACTATGGATCAGTCTATAGTCTTGACTATGGATCAGCCTATAGTCTTGACTATAGATCAGTCTATAGTCTTGACTATAGATCAGTCTACAGTTTTAACTATAGATCAGTCTATAGTCTTGACTGTAGATCAGTCTATAATCTTGACCATGGATCAGCCTATAGTCTTGACTATAGATCAGTCTATAGTCTTGACTATAGATCAGTCTATAGTCTTGACTATAGATCAGTCTATAGTCTTGACTATAGATCAGTCTATATTCTTGACAATGAATCAGCCTATAGTCTTGACTATAGATCAGTCTATAGTCTTGACTATTGATCAGTCTATAATCTTGACAATAGATCAGCCTATAGCCTTGACTATAGATCAGCCTATAGTCTTGACTATAGAACAGTCTATAGTCTTGACTATAGATCAGCCAATAGTCTTGACTATAGATCAGCCTATAGTCTTGACTATAGATCAGTCTATAGTCTTGACTATTGATCAGTCTATAGTCTTGACTATGGATCAGTCTATAGCCTTGACTATGGATCAGCCTATAGTCTTGACTATAGATCAGTCTATAGTCTTAACTGTAGATCGGTCTATAGTCTTGACTATAGATCAGTCTATAAACTTGACTATACATCATTCTATAGTCTTGACTATAGATCTGTCTATATCAGACTACATTCTTGACTATAGATCAGTCTATAGTTTTTACATAGCTCAGTCTATAGTCTTGACTTTAGATAGTGTTGACTATAGATAAATCTATAGTCTTGACTATAGATCAGTCTATAGTGTTGACCATAGATATATCTATAATTAGATGAGTCTATAGACTTGACTATAGATCAGTCTATGGTCAAGACTATAGATCAGTCTATATTCTTGACTATAGATCAGTCTATAGTCTTGACTATGGATCAGCCTATGGTCTTGACTATAGATCAGCCTATAGTCTTGACTAAAGATCAGTCTATAGTCTTGACTATATATCAGTCTATAGTCTTTACTATAGATCAGCTTATAGTCTTGACTATAGATCAGTCTAGACTATGGGTCAGCCCATAGTTTTTAAAATAAATCGTTCTATTGTATTGACAGTATAGACTAATTTTGACTTTAGAAAGACCATTAATCGACCAATAGCCTTTCAAAAGTCAAATACAGTTTATAATATTGCTTATAGATCAGTCTACAATATTGACTATATATTGTATTTGCTTGACTATAGATCAGTCTATAGTCTTGAATAATGATCGTTTTATTGACTTGAATGTAGATCACTGTACAATCTTGACTACAGATTAGCCTATAGTCTTGAATTTAGATCAGTCTATAATCTACACCATGATCAGAGTGTAACCTTGACTACGATTAAGGAAATATTTAAACTTCAAACTTATAATTTTTTAAATATTCTTTGTTAAAAAGGAATTATAGAACTTCTTTAACTGATTCATTCAACTGTTAACAGCTCAATTCATAAAAGTAGGTAAAAACAAACAAAAAAAAACTATTAGTTTTCTTAAAAAATATTAAGTGATGATTACCCCCAAAAAATATACTTAAACAACAGACAACATTATCCATAAATATAAAAGGGATACACAAGGAAACAGACACAAAAGGTAAAAAGTTTTTAGAGCCAAACTTTTAGAAAAGATTGCAGCACAATATACATATGTGTTTGAGTACGAAAATATTAGGTGAAATATGTTTTTGACTACAATCAAATACACATAAACTTGTTTTTAAGTCTCTTAAGTAATAAACTTTTTGACCATTAAGACTAGAATAGAACATTTATTAACCCTCTCCCCAGGAAACCTTTTATATAACTAAAGGTTTTATACGTTTCAGCTATTTATTAGTTTTAAGTTTTCTTTTTCATTATCAATGGGACAAAACCGCCCGTAATAAATTGTTTCTCTGGCTTATGGACAACGACTAGGTTTATTAAACAAACCAAAAAAGTAAAAAAGAAAAAACTAAAAGTTAATAGAAAATTTCATAAACTTTTGCGATTACAATAAAAATTTACATATGTATGAATGGTCTTAAATGAAATGAAAAAGAAAATAACAACAACTTTAGATAAGTAAGTTAAATTAACTTTGTAGCTTAACTTTTTGCAGAGTCTACAATGTAAATCTTAAAATATTCTATTAGATGTATTTTAGCAAAATAAAAATATATATAAAAAATAAATGTGCTAGAAAATGTTGTTAATAAATTAAAATAAAAAAACTCATTGTTAACTTACCTTAAATTACCTTTGTTGGTGGCATATTTAATGTGATTACAAATGGCTTCAAACATGCCACTGGTTGTGGTCACATAACGACAATCAAAGACCTTTTTGAAAGAAAATTAAAGAAAAAAAAATTAAAACATTAGACCTTTTGTATTTTTTCTTTAATAAATGTATTTTTTTTCTGCGGATAAAAATAACGAAAATTTATGCAGTTTAAATAAATGAAAAAAAGAAGAAAAACAAAAAGCATAAATAAACAAGCACACACTTAAATACACAAAAAAAATATTTTGTCTTGATTTGAAATTCAAACTAGTAAAACTTTTTTCAACAACAATTGACAGTGGCAGATTTTTGGATGAAATTTAAGAAATTTGCTTAAAATTTGTACTTTTTTTCTATTCCTACTGAAATAAACATTATATAAAAATCGTTATTACATGACGTATGATTAATATTAATTAGTAATATAAGGGTTTGATTGCAAATATTATAGTTTTAATTAAAAATTTGTTCAGCAATATATACAGTAGCGAGCACAAAAATTGCAACGCGGGGTCATATGATCTTTGATTTTGTCTGTTTCGAAACAACGGTAATCAATCCATCTCTTCTTTTTGCTGTTTATTCTCTTAACTCAGAGCTTCCAAATAAGCGACATTTTATTTCAATTTCTATTACGCAAAGTGAAATATTTTATATTTGCTGGAAATTTATGATTTTTATTGCGTTTTGAATGAAAGTTTCTTGAAGAAATTAAACAATACGAATATTATAATAGTAGTAATTATTATCTAATCAAAAAATAACTATTATTAAAGCTCTATAGGATAAGAATTCATGCTTGAAATTGGTTTGTTTTTTTGAGTGAAAAATTTGACGTAAATCGATCTGTATTACGATTTCACCTGAGAGAAAGCGTGGAAAGGTAACAGATAGTGGTCATTTTTGGAAAACTACCACTTTTAGAGACCGTCACATGATTAAATTGTTCAAAATCGCCCCACGAAAGATGTCAGTGGACGTTGCTGGTTTCACAAAGGAGCATATGGGTGACTCTATTGGAGTTCAAATTGCCCGCAGAAGGTTTAACAAAGTGTAATTTGCTTGGAAAATGATTCACAAAGAAATCCCAGATTAGTAGAGTCAATAAAAAGTACCGCTTTGAGTTTGAGAAATGTGTTAAGCATTGGTCAGGTGGTACTGTAAATGCTTGACATATAATCAGTGATTTTATTGCGAAAATCTCGCTTCTTGAACCACTCCAAAATGGATTTTTCGACATATGTGACTATTAGACGAATATATTGTCTTTGTCTAGGCCATCTAGTAAGAAATTTATAGTATCGGAGCCAAATAAATTTTATTTGCTCACGTCGTCACATAAGACCTTAACCCGCTGTTCACTTGACCAATGCTGATACGTTTCGCAAAATAACGGGGCTTGTTTTTCTTGACTCTACTGATGAATGGTTCCTTAGTAAAATGTTTTCCAAGCAAATTACACTTTATTAAAACGTCCGCGAGCAATGTGAACTCCAATAGAGTCACCCATATGCTCCTTTGTGAAACTAGCAACGTCCACTATCTTCTTTCGTGAGCCGATTTTAAACAATTTAATCACCTGACGGTCTTTAAAAGTGGAAGTTTTCCATAGACAACCACTATCTATTCCCTTTCCATGCTTTTTCTGAAGTGAAATCGTGATTCATATCGATTTACGCCAAATTTTTCACTCAAAAGAACGAACCAATTTCAAGCATGGATTCTTATTCTCTAGAGCTTTAATAATAGTTCTTTTTGATTAGATAATAATTACTACTATTATAATATTCGTATTGTTTAATTTCTTCAAGAAACTTTCATTCAAAACGCAATAAAAATCATCAATTTACTGTTATTTTATTGCGTTGCATTTTTTGTGCTCGCGAAAAAAGTTCACTTTTTTCAGCAAATATAAAATATTTCACTTTGCGTAATAGAAATTGAAACAAAATTTCGCTTGTTTGGAGGCCCAGAGTTAAGAGAATAAACAGCAAAAAGAAGAGATGGATTCATTACCGTTATTTCGAAACAGACGAAATCGAAGATCATATCGTCACGCGTTGCATATTTTGTGCTCGCTACTGTATATATTTTTATAAACGTAACACTTTAAGCTTGAACTGATGTGCGCAAGATTCAGTACCTTAGTTGGCAAAATATTTAAACCCATTTGAAACTCTGTAATAACAGATATGATGTACGGCTTAACAGATTTTCATCCTCAACTTCCGTACAATTTGTTTCATATTCTAAACATAGAACAAAAGTCATCGTCAGTGTTATTTAAGTCTCGAAAGGCATCAGAATGTTGATTCCTTCAGCCTGGATGAAGAACTAAGAACTAACTTATTTTTTTTAAGATTGTTGTAAGGTCTCATCATTTAGTTTAGTTAGTTAGTTGTTAGTTAGTTAGTTAGTTACCCGTTAGTTAGTTAGTTCGTTCGTTAGTTAGTTAGTTAGTTAGTTAGTTCGTTTAGTTAGTTAGTTCGTTCAGTCCGTTAGTTAGTTAGTTATGTTAGTTAGTTAGTTAGTTAGTTGTTAGTTATTGTTATAGTAGTTAGTTAGTAGTTAGTTAGTTAGTTAGTTAGTTAGTTAGTTAGTTAGTTAGTTAGTTAGTTAGTTAGTTAGTTAGTTAGTTAGTTAGTTAGTAGTTAGTTAGTAGTAGTTAGTAGTAGTTAGTTAGTTAGTTAGTAGTTAGTTAGTTAGTAGTTAGTTAGTTAGTTAGTTAGTTTAGTTAGTAGTTAGTTAGTTAGTTAGTAGTTAGTTAGTTAGTTAGTAGTAGTAGTTAGTTTAGTTAGTTAGTAGTTAGTTAGTTAGTTAGTTAGTTAGTTAGTTAGTTAGTTAGTTAGTTTTAGTTAGTTAGTTAGTAGTTAGTTAGTTAGTTAGTTAGTTAGTTAGTTAGTATTGTTAGTTAGTTAGTTAGTTAGTTAGTAGTTAGTGTTAGTAGTTAGTTAGTTAGTTAGTAGTTAGTAGTAGTTAGTTAGTTAGTTAGTTAGTAGTTAGTTAGTTAGTTAGTTAGTTAGTTAGTTAGTAGTTAGTTAAGTTAGTTAGTTAGTTAGTTAGTTAGTTAGTTAGTTAGTTAGTTAGTAGTAGTTAGTTAGTTAGTTAGTTAGTAGTTAGTTAGTTAGTTAGTTAGTTAGTTAGTTAGTTAGTTAGTTAGTTAGTTAGTTAGTTAGTTAGTTAGTTAGTTAGTAGTTAGTTAGTTAGTTAGTTAGTTAGTTAGTTAGTTAGTTAGTTAGTTAGTTAGTTAGTTAGTTAGTTAGTTAGTTAGTTAGTTAGTTAGTTAGTTAGTAGTTAGTTAGTAGTTAGTTAGTTAGTTAGTTAGTTAGTAGTTAGTTAGTTAGTTAGTTAGTTAGTTAGTTAGTTAGTTAGTAGTTAGTTAGTTAGTTAGTTCGTTAGTTAGTTAGTTAGTTAGTAGTTAGTTAGTTAGTTAGTTAGTTAGTTAGTTTAGTTAGTTAGTTAGTAGTTAGTTAGTTAGTTAGTTAGTTAGTTAGTTAGTTAGTTAGTAGTTAGTTAGTTAGTTAGTTAGTTAGTTAGTTAGTTAGTTAGTTAGTTAGTTAGTTAGTTAGTTAGTTAGTTAGTTAGTTAGTTAGTTAGTTAGTTAGTTAGTTAGTAGTAGTTAGTTAGTTAGTTAGTTAGTAGTTAGTTAGTTAGTTAGTTAGTTAGTTAGTTAGTTAGTAGTTAGTTAGTTAGTAGTTAGTTAGTAGTAGTTAGTTAGTTAGTAGTTAGTTAGTAGTTAGTTAGTTAGTTAGTTAGTTAGTTAGTTAGTTAGTTAGTTAGTTAGTTAGTTAGTTAGTTAGTAGTTAGTTAGTTAGTTAGTTAGTTAGTTAGTTAGTTAGTTATTAATTTAATTTTCCTTAACATGTTTTTGCAACATGGCAAATCATTTTATATTAATTACGAATTGTTTTCTTTTAAACGGAAATATATTCCGTTTTTGAAATAATCTAATCAGCAATGTATATATTTTTTGAAAGCTAAGACTGGTGGCTTTCAAATAATGTACAATTTGCTGTTCTTTTTAAAGAAAACATAAGGCAATTTCTTTACACAAAACTTAAAATTTCAAATATTTTCAATTTTTTACCACTATGCACATTAAAATACAGTTGTAATGAAATTTTCCCACTCATTCGTTACCGTATGTTTCTACTTATATTCTTTGGAAGTATTTCAAACTACAACTTCCTTTAGCTACAAATAATAATTTTTCATTTGGGCTATATGTCTTTATTTTCAGCGCTATTTCGTCTTTGAAAATGCTTTAATTTGCACTTTCAATTGAAAGTTGTGCTTGAGAAGGAAGATGTGAAGCTGGTAGAAGTAGAGGATGTGTAAACATGTTTTACATTTACACTTGAATGCACAACTAATACTAGTAAAAACATTATGCAAAGCTCACTATAGCATGCAACAAAACTATAACTTTTTCACATATTTGCAACACCCCCAACCACTCATGTTTTTGTTGTGAACATATTTGAATAATGGCACAGACTATAGCGAAGACTTTAGATACAAAAATATGTTAAAGATGTCTTAAAAGAAGCAAGAACTTGCACTAGGTGTTTACATCATCACCTTTTACTTTTTATTTATAAGTATAAAATAAGCGTGTATATATGACACACTATGGTTTGGAAGGCACAGAAAAGCGCCCAAGAAAACAAGACATTATTGTTGTCTTGGCATATAAAAGCATGTTATGGCGGTGTTCAAAAAAAATTATACAAGAATTGTTCCTCTTGTATGTCTTTTCTCACCTTGAGTTGATTATATTCATTCCTTGACTTTGTTTTTATCTTTTCTACCTTTTTCTTGTTTTAGACTGTTAAAAAATGGAATCTTATTTTTAGCTTTGTTTTCGATGAAATGAAGTGAAATGTTTCCTTTTTACTTACTTTTATAGTTTTTTTTAGTTGAGAGTGAATAATCAAAAAAGAAAAATTAAATTGAATTTTTTGTATAATTTAGTCAAATGCAAAGTGTACATTTCAATAATGCATAAAAAATGAATATAACAAAATGTAATGAAAACTATTTTTACTCGAACAGG